GACCGCGCGCTTTCACAGTGCGAAGAAGTTATCGAAAGAGTTATACGATATTCTCACAAGTGTGTGTGCGCACGTAAGTACATTATTATTGTCATTTGCACAAATTGAGCAAAGAAATGCGAATTTCTCGAGACAAACGTTAGATTTCTTGCACGACTGCAAAACACGGAAGATCATCGACGATATTAACCGTCCGAATATTTATAAGATGCTTACGCAATATTGTTTTGGCTAAATCAGACGAGCAAACTCTGAAAATTGAAACGATCGGTTAGTATGATCCCATTTGAAGGTACGATTTTTGCGACAAAAGTTCTCGCTCTTTTCTTCTGTCGCGATCTTTCGCGCTTCTCATTATCCGTCCTTCTCAGCGTCGTTGCCACCGTTGCACACATCGTAGCTTTCGTCGTAAAATTAACAAGACCGAGCGAGAAGTAGTAGACGGGAAAGCGATAGAGACGGGGAAAACTTAAAGATAATCCGAGTCGAAATTTAGCGTCTACATTGAACCTCAATTCCTTTTTTTTTATGTAGGAGTAAGAGAGAAGGTAGATCCTATTTTGACGCTGCTATACGTCCGAAATTTCTTTTTCTTCTGCTAAAGTTTTAAAGTAGGGTTCAATTCTCAGATCAGGCTGCGCATTGCAGGCTCTGATAGGCTCAAAATAGGCTCTGATAGACTCAAAGTAGGAGTAAGAAAAAAAGTAGATGCTACTTTGACGCTGCTATACGTCCGAAATTTCCTTTTTTCAAAAATTGAGGTTCAATGTAGACGCTAAATTTCGACTCGGGAAGTCTCGTAAAGCTCAAAATTGTTGCGCCGCGGCTTTATGTTCTCCCCAGGAATTTTGAGGACAATAATAGGAATAATTATTCGACAACAATTAATTATTGTTATTTACGCGCAAACTCTTTTGATTGAAAATTCTGTTCGTAAGAAGCGAGGAATATTGACGAGTTTTATGAGCTGTTCTCAATCCCGGCCAAGATCGAAATCTGAGAAACGAACTTGTTTTGTGTTTGATTAGGATTTTATTTTCTGCCGCTTGTTCGTTTCTGGCCACCACCGTGGAGGGTCAATATTATCACACGTGCTCAAAATGCCGACAGAAAGAACTGTCGCTCTCCTTCTTCACCCACATTGCTTTTGTCCTTCTCGCGATTGTATTCCCATTTGAGATCGGGGCCCTGACACATTCGGCCCAATCTTAAATACATTTACCGTTGCATCCACCTGCATTCGATAGACATATATTTATTCAAGTCCGCCTTTTCCAAGTAAAAACTCGGATCCTCGCCATTTGAATATACCTGACGTTTCGATGAATCTATTTGCATCTCCTTCTAGATAAAAGGTACACTTCCCTCCTGTAGAATACAGTAAACTCATTCCTGTTTTTTATTTCTCTTATAATTTTGGTTTGAATATTTTATCAGAAATGACACATATTTGAGACAGGTTACTCGAACTTATAATAAATCAAAATTGTTTCGTACGTTCAACGATTGACGATCGAATCTCTTTCGATTACATTTTTTCATCTCTATTTTGTGATTCTCCACTTTTAGAAACAAACATAACGCGTGTAGAAAAATTAATGTATACATAATAAATAAATATATACATAGTGTTATAATAATAATAGTGTTTTTATTAATAAAATATTAATAAAATGACAAAAAAAAATTTGCAACTGTACGCGAGACATTTATTGAGAAGTTAATATTATATGTGTATGTGTTTGTGTGAGAAAAAAATATAGAACGTCCATCTCTTCTTTTTTTTACGATGGTCGTTTCCGTTCTCGGTAATATGACTTTGTACATTTATGCCGGCACTGCTGCAATGGGCATAGCCGTAAAACACTTATGACACCCGTAGCATAATAATGTTACTCGATAGCGACTATCTCGATGTATATAACTCACCGCCATTTTCCTAATTAATGTTTAATGCTTTATTATCTGCCCTCTTTGCTCACGATTAAACTTGCACGTTGATATCACGTTATCAACAGATTTTGCTTTCCTTCTCCTTCTCTCTTCTATTCCGCTCGAGCTACGTATGCAATGTATCTGTCTGAGTGATCGTCAGGTTTTCTCTCTTTTTGCGTAGCTGTTTGTAACTTGCATGCGAGTTTATAGCAAAAGTAAAAAAAAAAAGGTTGAAAAACTTTTTTACACCTGCCTCAAGTAATCCGCTAATTAACTCTTGCTGGTTATGCTCTATTATATTTTTGGCCTGGAACGTATCCCATTATTATATTATCAGTTGTTTGTACACAGTAAAAAATAAAATATTAATTTTAATTTGAGTGAACCTTTTGGAACATGTAAAAAATGATAAAATAAGAGAAGTTTTTACTGTATATTTACGCTTTGCTACAAATGTTCATATCAAAATTTTATTCGAATTGGAAGCAATTTATTTGTAACGTTAACTTATTTTTTTGTTTGGTAACTTTTACTTAATATTTTATTTTTTACTTTTATTTTTTGTATTAGCCTAATTAATTTTAATTTTTTAATTAATTTGTAATGTTTTGTATTAGTAACATATATATACGCTTTTACTAACAAAGGGAAAAATCGTGTTTTACTTTTACAGAGACAAATTGAAGCTAATAATTATTTCATAAATATGTTATCCCAAGTAATCAATAGTAGATTAATGAATAACTGTCAACAGCTCTTAAATGTAAGTAAAATTTCCAAGTTTTTAATCAAAATAATATATGAGATGAGAAATGACGATTAGGTCATATATTAGGTAACATTAGGTTATATAACATTTTAATATAACATTTTTTCTGAAAAATATAACTCCGCGAAAGAAAATTAAACCTAAAACCAATCTACTCACTCCAGACAGAACGTATCCCATCCTAACCTTAGTCGTCACTGTATTTTAACAATTTATTATAAAATATTATAAAATTTATTATTATTATTATTGTTATTATATATTATACTACATAATATACATAGTATATTAATAATGTATAGTATGTTTTTTAATTAAACAATATAATGTATAATAGTAATGTTACGTTTCACTATGATTTATTTGTGCTATTGTATAGATATGCGCACGGAGAAAACTGTTATGGTTGCTAGAATCACATTATCTATGGTTAGAAAAGCAATTGATATGAGTTCAAGTTAAATAGATATTACATCAAAAATTGCTGTTGACATAAGCTCATTTATACAGTTCGCACAGCCATATTTAAATGATACGTAATATTCAATTAGTATATTCGCATATATTGTTGCCTCAACCAAAAGAATATGATACTTCTCTATTATGATTTGTAGAACAAATACTATGGTTGAGGGATCCATACGGTTTTTTTACGCGATACATTTGAGTGACATGTAATGTTTTTGAATGTTTCGCTAGAACACGCAGGAACAGGCAGCGTATTTCTTCGCGCGATGCGTGCGCTGCTTGCCGCGGTAAAGCAAATCTTTTCTTGCTTATTGATAAGCAAGCCGGTGGAGTGTGTAAAAATAAGTGATTTAGTAAAAATATGGAGACATTTTTAAAAAATATTGGCTTTCAACAATTTATTCCTATCTTTAAAGGTAAGTTTATATAAACTTGATAAATTTTAAGGTTATAATTATTAATCTTATTATATTAGGTGCTTTCCAGCTACGTACACAGGCGACACTATGTAACACAGTGCCTATTAATGTGAAAAAGAGTGTATCAGTGTGTCTCATTTACACTAGTGGACATTATGTTACACAGTGTCGCCTGTGTACGTAGCTGGAAAGCACCTAATATAATAAGATTAATAATTATAACTTAAAAACTTATCAAGTTTATATAAACTTACCTTTACTATATATATGTACTACATTTATATATATATATGTACTATAATTANTGAGAAATAAATTTACTAATATTATATTTTTTCTTTGTATATTAATTTCTTATAAATCATTAAGAAGAAAGTAGATTTTTCATTATTTTTATCAATAATGCATTTGATAATACATCTGCAAGAATTTGAAACTGCATTGTATTAAAATTATTGTATTATCAATGCCGTATGGTTATAGTATCCATAACGACTATCCTTATTAATGTTGGATCAACCATACAAGTCATTTCCATAGAACTATGGTTTCTACAACCATAGTGTACGCATGGGCGAAAAATAACATTACTATTTTGTTGGGGCAACTATATTTCCTGAAGTGATATCCATAGTGTTTTCTCCGTGCGCGACAAAGAAAAAAAACTATATTGTTAAAAGATACATAGGATTATAACACAAAGTTGCATTTTTTTTCTTATTCTGGAAAAAAATAATCGAGTCATTTGTTTTGCGCGTGAAAAAGAATTACTACACAGTAAAAAATCGTGCGTCAAAATGTAGAACTTTTCTTGTGTTACGACGTTTTGATTATTACTTCAATGTAAAATTAACATAATACTGATATGTTATTATTTTTTTAATCTTTTCACGTGTTAAATTTATGTTAACTTCACAAATTAACATTTTTTACATGTCATTTAAAAATAGAATATTGTTTAAGTGCTTTTAACACAATGATTTCAATTAATCTAGATGTCTCAAAGTCAATTTAACATACTAAAAAAATTGTTTTAATCTGTGGCCACATTATACAAACTAAAATGTTTTATTAACATTTCTTACGAGTTAATGTAACTACTGTTTTGTGTAGTTTTAATTATTTTATATGTTATTTTTACATCACGCTTACAGTCAAAATAACAAATATAAATGTAAAGTATTGTGTCAAGTATTTGACTTTACTAGTTTGTCAATAAGTGACTCACAACGAATGAGTTATTTTAACGTAAAATTTAAAGTGGACCTTCTGGAACATGCAAAAAATGTTAAAATTACCATTTTTTTTTTTACTGTGTAGATTCAAAACATGCATGCATTTAAACATAAAATTTAATTTGTTTTCTCGAATCAAATAATTGCAAAACTTTTGTATTTTCTTAATTTCAGACTTCGTATACTCGCGAATCAAACGATTACGAACTTGAAGAATGCAACGAGTCCGAAGATGAAGAAGAGAATCCGCAGTCATTTCCAACTAATCCGGTTCTAGATGTCAATGCTACCATGTCAAACTATCTGACAAATCCGCGTGTTCTGGAGAAACTTAGAGTTAGTATAAACATAGCTTTTTTTTCTTTTTCATCTTGTATGTTTTCAATCTATCGTTTTTCGAGTTCGTGTTCTCTACCGAGTTTACGCACGCTATCGACCGACACAACAGATTTCGAAAAAAATAAATAGTTGTATTGACATGAGCCTACTGCGCGTTTGCCCTGTTGAGTTTCCGAAGATAAGCGAACACACAGCTAATTCGTCATAAAACTCACCCGCGACTGACTCGAGCGTTCGTTGACCTACAAAAAGTAGAATGGCGCACGAATCGTGGAAAATCGTGAGTCGTAACGCCGCGGACGTTGACAGTCATAAATGAGTTACCGTCGTGACAATAGATTTCATTTTTTTTTTTTTTATTACGCAACACGGAACCTAAACCGGATGACGAGCGCAGATATCTTTACGATCGCTGCTCCGATAAGAGATCGTCGCGTACCATCTTGGCGTGTTGCACTCTGCGTGAAAATCACAAAGGTTTACAAAGCCGGAAAATTTCAGTGACGACAGAAATTGTGCGGTTTTTGCTTCGTACTCGGTTACTTCCGAACTGAAAGAACGCTTGGAATGACGTTTGTACAATTAAGTTTCTGAGGAATATAATATTATACACTTGTTTCAATTTATATTTATGTTTTGGTTAGCAGCAGCAAGGCGAAGTCGCCATGGTCGCCAACGAAATGCTACACAGAAACGGCGTAGACTTCATGACCGCGTTCAATGCCAACAACGTCGGCGGCGTCAACTTATTCCAACAATTTTGTATGCAGTCAACACCAGTACCGTCGCCCTTGCTCAGCAATGTTGGTATAAACCAACGCACGCCATCGCCACCTCTGACGCAAAATATACCAAGCACGCTGGAAAATAATCAGATGGCAATAGTCCATACAAATATTAGATCGCTGACTGGACAACCAATATCCACTTCAAGACCGCTTAGTGTATCGCCTCAACCAGGATCCTCCAGAAACAACGGAGAAATCCCAATAACGCCGTTAAGAAATAACGGGGAATCCCGCGATTCTAATCCATCACCTCGAACCCTCGGTCCAGTCAATAATCAACATGGAGCGGTTCAATCTAGCTCTAACTGGAGCTATGAAGAACAATTCAGACAGGTGCGTCAGGCAAGTACTTATAGTTATATACGTACGCCTTTCTCAGTTTCAAGGGAATGAATTGTGCGCGGCGACTTTTGTCGAACCACTAACACATATTCACGCAAATGATTACTTCTCGGCTAACACTCTTTCCAATGTTCTCTCTCCTAAGATAACGAAAGTTTTGAGCTTTGGATAGAATCGTAGCAGCGTACACTAACTACTTCAAACTTCTTATTGCACTATAAAAGAAAGAAAACCAAATTGCTTCGATGCTGTTTGCTTAACGCTTTGATTAGAAACTTTCTGCTTTGTAAATTTGTGATTGGTTTCAAAAACTTGAAACGCAATATTATTATTTCTTTAAATCGAAAAGACGTGAAAAAAGATTCTTTTACGAATGTCAACGTCAGTTGACACACACAGTTGACACACACGTTTCGAGTCTGTGAAAATTAGATGGACGCGATTCCGCGCTGTTCGATATGGGATTTCCGCATCGGAAGCAGCGTCGTTGTTCTCTTTCTCTGGGCGTGTTCGTATGAAGCGATTTCGACCGAGTCGTGGGCGTGAACAACTCGCGCGGTCACCTTTGTGGGACACTGGTTAGTGCCACGAGGGACGTGTAATTATTCCAGAACTCTCCCCTCGCGCGAGAGTGCGAGACGAGGAACGAGAGTTGGGGGTAAGAAAGCCGTGGCTAAGAGAGAGGGGGACAAACGGCTTTAATTAATGCAACGGTGGGAGCTAATTATTATTTTTACACGGCCGGAGATAATTACCCGGCCGACCGTCTCCAAGAGACGGACTGGCGAGTTCGTTTTGACGGTGTTTCGGAGCAAGAACCGAGATGATCGGCTCGACACCGAGGAAGGAAGGAAAAGAAACATTTGGGAGTCGGAACAGAGCGTTATACAGGGTGTTCGTTATCCCGATCGACGTCGGTGTGTTTCGAACATCTTCATATGCGCGATTTTCATAAGAGACTCACTACTCTTAAAAGTTCACAACTTAATTAAACTATAATTAAAACATTGATCTCAACTGCGATGTTTGATAGAAGATTTGTTTTTTTCGATAGTTTTCAGAAATCGCGACAGGTGTCCGAGTACCGAGACAGACACCCTGTATAACTCATAATATACGAAAGGTGTAGGGGATGGAGGAACGGAGACGAAGTTATAGAATTAGCCGGACTCACATCGCAGCCTTGTTAGTGCTTTTTGTAATGACCCATTCGGTGCATTCGCGCGCGCATTTTTGCCATATGGGGATGTAAAAGCGCCGTGGCGGTTGTGTGTCCCGTTCGACCGCGGTTTTCGGTTTTTGCGAAGAGGGCGTGGTGTTGGATTACCATTTAGATTGTTGTTCGCGCGCGAGCCCGCAAAACGGCCGATATCTTTTTACAGTCCGCGTGACAAACTCACCTCGAGCTAGGATGGCCGAGGTTTCGCGGTTTCAAGAGCAGTTTTACGCAATCGATTACGCGATTCCGTTCGAGAACCAACGAATCTAAATAACACACTTCCACAACGAGTAATTGTAGAAGAAAAACTTATATTTTTTTTATTTCTCTCACTTGTTTTTTTTTTTTTTTTTTTTTTTTTTGTATAACGTTGCGTGTTGAAATCTGACGGGGATGACTTTTGCGCCACCCGAACGAAATACATAGATAAAGGATCGGCGGCTGCTTTACTTTACGAGGTATCGGCATAATAACGTACTTTACTGATTAAGGCAGCGAGCGGACCAACGCGAGTAAACGGCGCGCGAATGACGGCGAGGTATATAGTACAAACGGAGGGAACAACGTGTACGCGGGAATGGAAATAGAAGTCTCCACCTACTCGGCAAAGCGGCGGCGCCCGCATCTCACGGATCGCATCCATCATTCCGAGGCGAGGGCGTACAAGCTGCTCTTTAATCTTTCTTCTTCGGGCCGATGGTGGTTTTGTCTGTTTTACTCTTCAAGTCCGCCTTTTTTTCGCGATGTCGGTAATCGCTCGCGTACCACGCTCTCGCGCGTTTTTTTTTATTTAGTTTTTTTTTTTCAAATTTCTTAAAACTCTATCTTTCGTCTTCTTTCCTCACTTCTTCAAAGATTTTGAAGAAATTTGATGTCGCACGTTCTTTCAAGCTGAATTAGCTTTGAAAAATTGTAAACTTTTTTCTAGTCACCGCATAGGAGGTCGTCTTTAATAGAAAAATTTCCGGAGCTTTTGCCAGACGACATTTTCTTTTTTTTCGTTTCTTTTCTTTACCTGGATTCTTTTCAAACAAGAATGACGATCAAGAAAAGCAATTGTTGAATAAGACTTGTATCTTCGAAGTCTGTACATTCTGGTGCGTAAGTTACTTGCAAATAAATCTAGTTTCTTTACCATTTTTCTTTTCGTTTTGTTATTTAAAGTCTGTATATCCTGGTGCGTAACTTAGTTACAAATAAATATATAGTTTTCTTGTTTCTCTTTGAATTGGTCACACTATGAAGTAGTTTGACCAATTGAAATAGAAATTTGTGTAAAAGCGTGAAGTAGAAAACTTTCATTGAATTTTACATGGAAAAAGAGTTACGTTTATTATATGCTCAGCAAGAAACATTGTTGAGTCTGGGAAACTTTTTGTTTCATCAACAAAATGTTTTGTTGGCAAAACAAAAATCTTTTAGCAAATATTTTTTGCTGGCCATACGTAACTAATTTCTCGCTATTCTAGCAAATCTTTTTTGTTTTCGTGTACAGTACGCGATGACCACATTTACGGATGGTTTTGTTTTTGATAAACTAACGTCTAGTTGTGCGCGAGGAAGACGAGAACGAATTGAGAGTGAGCTTTTAAAAATAAAACATTGGTCGATTTTCTTCAATGCGAGGTGGCTCCTCGGGATAACTCACTGACATACAAGCGGGTCACTGTGTACATATGTAGTATATATTTTTCTAGATAGGAAATGGAAGCTTTGTCTCATCGTAAGATAACAATGTTCGCGTATACCTACATATAGCGCGCGATTCACGACGTTGATATTCAACCCTCGTATTCACCCGTACGCGTATACTCATCTCGCGATACCTCGTGTAACGTCGTTCGCTGACCGTTCGTACACTCGAGCTACCACGGCAGTATAATACTGTAGCACTATACTTTACAGCCATTGTGAAATAACTCGTAAACCTGCAAATTGCCGGCTATTTTGCTCCCATACACGCGCACAGCCGACCTTTTACGCTCCCGTCTCTGTGCACTCATAGAATCTCTGTGTGTTCGAGCGAGCTTGAGTGTTCTATGCGCGTTTACGCGTGTAAGACCCCTCGGCACATGCATCGTATACGCACAAAAAAACGCACGGCCGATTACGACAAGGTAAGATAGTCGGTGGATTCGTACGAATTTTGAAGCGGCTCCTCCCCGCTTGAAAAAAAAAAAAAAAAAAAAAAAAATTATTTCTCAGCGAATATTGTATGTTATTTGAGTCTGATAAGAAGATCTTATTCTCGAGTTAAGTTTCTCGATAGAAATCTCTTCAAGATTTGATTCAGGTACTTAATAATAAAGAGAAGTATGATAATGACGCGAAAACATCTTATTATTCAGAGTCTCATTATGAGCACGCGAAATTATGACACCTTGTACATGCGACGAGCGACGATGACGCGCGATCACCCCTCGAGAGTTATCATTATGATTATGCAAATGCCTTATCATTATGCAAATGCGCGCCGGTGCGCCTAAAATTCAGTCTGCGATTCACCGTCGTCGCTGCCGAGCGTTAACACGCTCGAGAGACACGTGGGAGAGACAGACGTCTCTCCGCTACACGGTCCTGTGTAATTTCTCAAGAGATCGTACAGGTTTTGTCTAAATCCACACACACACACATATCTCTCTTTCTTTCTGCGTTGAATAATCTACTAAAAAAAGTCATTCTTGTTTTTCTTTTTTTTTTGTCGTGCGAAATATTCCAGGAAGGAAAAAAATTGCGTCTAATTTCCATCGTAGTAGCGTGCGCGTTGCTGTTATTGTTACGTTCTATAAAATTATAATTGCACGACGGATCGTGTAGTTTTCATAATCGTACGCAATTATCTCTCACGTCGTTCTTATCGATCAACGCTCTAACCGAGCTAGTTCGTAATTTATACCTGAATAACGAACGTTCTTATACGCGTTAAATTGACGATTGGTTACATATAATAAACTTATCACTCTAGTGTGCAATAATTCGCGTTAATAATAATTGAGAAAAAAACAACAACAACTTTCTGGCGTCTTATTTATCTTCGCGTTACACACACGCGATATAAAACACGCGTGTATTTTTACTACTCGCATACTACTCGGATCGGATTATTTTTCGCGCGTCATCAATTATCGAGACGAGATGATGAGACGATACGATCGCGCGTTAATAACGACACAGAAGATTATACACGCGTTTCGATACTTGAAACCAAAGAAAAACAATCTTTTTCTTCTTCTTTGCTTAATATCCCATTGACCGGAGACATAATTTCCCGGTTCTGCTTATCGATCAATTAAACGAGTTACGCATGCGAAAGCGCAATTATCACGGTGCAGCGAGAGAGATTATTATTGAGCGTCGCATACGAGACGCTCGTTTGGAGGAAATCGTTTGAATGGTTCTATTGTCGCACCCTCTCTTTGCTTTTCTGGAATAAGGGAATAAGGGGTTTCACTCCCTTTAAATGACGTAATTGAAAAGAAAATTTAAATCCTCGGTGCAGCGCGCGGCTAACTTCCACCACGAGTGATGCAAGCGGAGGATCTCCTCCCGCTTCGCTTTGCGTTCGCGCGAAACACACAACACCACGCCCGCCCGTCGCCGTAAACGAAACGTCGATATGTAAGCTACGTACAAATACGTTGTCGCAACCGCGTAAAAACGGTGGCACACCAATTTCGCGATCGCGTGCGAAGATAAGAGAAGCGACACCAATAACACGGGGGGGGGAGAGGGGGAGAGAGGAGTCAGACAGAGAAGCCGGATGAAAATAGCC